ATACATTTTACCAACTACCTTAAATTCCTACGTTAATATTTCGCGAGCTAGCTCAACCAAAACCTAAGAATCTGCCTTGGTTCATTCTTTCCACTGATAGAATCATAAGAATTGATCTTTCCAATGCTTACAACAAGAATTCCTTAGCATTGTCAATGCGCATTTCAAGTACTTCAATTCCAGGATTAAAAACAAGGATATATAAAAAAAAAACGAGAGAGTCAGTCCCTTACTTCACTAAAAACCCTTCATTTTAAGCAGAAATTAAGAGACCCCGTCAGCCCAAGATTACAAAAGAACATCTTTTTTTAATTTACCTGAGAAGGAAGAAGGTAAAGAGAGAGAAGAGGAAGAAAGGAAGGAGCAATGAAGCAGGCCCGAGCGAGTTGGAGAGTTGGTGGCCACATTCATTGAAAAATCCCTTTTCGTTCTTGAACCAGAAATAAGAGAGAGTGAAGCTGATGCGCTGCCATTGCTTCTTGTTCGACTCGACGCCATCCAAGGTGGCGGTGATGACGATATCATTGATATTGAAGTAGCCATGATTCTGTTTCCTCAGTGTGTCTCTCTTGCCGTCTACTTGATTTGCTATCCTCTCTTGTAAAGGCAAGGCTATCAGTGACTGGCGGTGGCCTTATCGGTTTTCTTCTTCACTTCGCAATCAAAAACAAAAAAGTTTTATTGCAGGCCTTGATTGGAGCCCATGGAGTTCTTAAGGCCCTTAGAAGTGATCCATTCCTTTTGAAGCTCTTTTCCTAGTCATAAGCCCACATTCGTAGGCCATTAACAGTATACCTTGTTTGTTTTTGCTGGCAGAAACACCATTTCCAAAACAAATATTGAAATTTTTAAAATAAAATTAATTTTTAATATTTTTTAATATATTATTATTAAAAATAAATTTTAAAAAATAAAAAACATATTATTTTAATATATTTTTAAATAAAAATATTTTAAAAAATATATCAAATGGAAGAGAGATAAAAGTGCCCATTTGACGAAGTGGGCTTAGCCACCCTATTAGCCCAATGGCGTGGGCTTGGTCGCGCATTTGTCGCCATTAGAATTCAGAATGGACCCTGGCTCATGATTGATATCAATGGCTTGGAATTACTAGCAAAAGTTGTCTCTATAAAAGAGATTAAAGTCCTTGGAAAACTCGAAACGAAGCATCTTCCAAAAAAAGAAGATTCTAGGATGAACTTTATCTCTATACCATTAGTGTGCGTGTGTGTGTTCTTAATGTAATGGTAAGCCCACTTTTTGAATTTTATTCTTCCTATGCTGAGATTCTTTAAGTATTTTTACGATATGGTATCACAGGGT